GTCTAATAAACGTGAATGCAACAGAAGCAGCATCCTCTGTTAGGTTCCTGGGTACTCTGTGACAAATGTTATGAATCACTAAAGCATGAGCACAAGTTGCCTGTACTTAATGTAACCTTGTCTATTTGAGAAGCATGAGATTATAGAAAGGATGGAAGGATAGTGGTAGCGGTTGACAAGCATGCTAACTCTCATTATGCCCCTTCCATGGCTAACCAAATTGAGGTAAAAGCACCATCATATTCTAATGGAGGATTTTAGTGTGTGGACAGAGTTCTGGTTGGGAGAAACACTCAAGTTGTAACTCAGTTTAACCCTATAGTGAAGACAAGCCCCAACTTGCTGGGGAAATAAGCTTGTCTCTACAAGGTTTTAATACCACTTTAACTATATTGATTTGAAACCAGTATAGTTAAATGAGTACACTCTCCTACTGTAGACACAATTACATGTCTATAAAGGTGCTTATGCACTCTGATCCAAATTACAGTAGTTTAAAAAACAAACAACTGACTAGACCCAGGCTTGACTAAGAAACTTCTTTTTATATACAGGGCTTGACTGAAAGCCCACTGGAGTCAATAAAAGTCTTTCCACTGACTTAATGGGCTTTGTATTGATCTTAAGAGAAGAAAAAAGTCTGGGCTGAATGCACACTAATAAAGAAGTGCTAGAATTAATCCACTGCCGTCTGTCTTTGTTTTGTAAACCACTCAACAGAGCCCAACCTGAAACTGTACAACAGATTCTGGAGAGCATGCTGTCCTTTACCACAACTGCCTCTGCTGTACTTACTGGCATCTGTAGAAATGCACAACGATTGCCTATATGAGAGTTTTTTATATGGAGTTATAACAAGGAAGCATAAGAGAAAGCAGCTCTATAATCTACAATCTGCTACAGCTGTTTATATACCATATATATCACATAAATGGACTGTTTAAGAAGACTATGGTAGCTGCAAGATCTGCTATAAATTACCTGCTGCGTTAAATAGGCTAGTAACGTTGTATGGTTTTAAGATAAAGTGTTTAAATCTCTTGTTTTAAGAAGACTGGCCATGGTCAGAGAGAATGAAACTGTGATAACACTGTTAATTATCTTAAAGTGAATTTTGTAGTACAGGGCATAGTGCCGGAGCCTGGCTGTATGAACCTCTTTGCCCAGCTCATCTGGCCCCATAGGCTGGACGAGTGCTGTAGGGTCAGTCTGCAAATCAATCCAGTGCATGGGGCTATGTCATCAGGTTCCCCCTGGGTCTGGAAATTTGCGGCAGCATTAACTGCCATGGCTTCAGGAACTGCGGCAATTAAAGCTGCCACTGCTTCCCCCATCACCAAATTTCCAGGCCTGTGGGGAGCCACGAGGGCCAAATGGCATAGCTCCAGATTGGATCTCGCCCACAGGTTGGATCTTGGTCACTTCTGTTTTAAAGCCATGAAAGAAACCATGGAGCTTTTTCTCTGTCTCATACGCACATACCCAAAAGCAGAAAATGAGCTACTGAGGGGTTAGATCATGTGTTTCTTCCTAAAAGGAGTTTATGGGAAGGCCACATATGAGCAACCGATTCCAGAGTTCCATTGACAAAAATGTTGAAAAATCACCTACCAGGAAGTTGAACTGGAAATATTGTAGAGAGAGGGAAGGGCATGGAGGATTATCCCTTCAAGAAACATGAGATTGGTGCCCAGTGAGGATGCTAAACTTGCAGAAGTACAGTTGAGTCTATGAATCTGTTGGCACTGGGTCAGTAGGATACATGCCTATGTGGGGAAAGCATTTCAGACGTTTGTGGTCATTGCCAAAATACAGTCACTTGGCTTCTGCTGCTTGATGACCCAGCTCCTTTTTCTGATACACTGTCAGGTGATGATACTATACAGAAAAGTTATCCCCTCTGTCAGTGTCATTCATAACAGCCAGCTGCTCCACCAATTTTATGTTTTTCCTGCTGCAGAGCCAATACCAGATGGCAATATACTTTACCTAAGATTAAAAAAACCCACACTTTTAGTTAATAAATGTATTTTCCAGAGACCATCAGAAAATCACAATGCATTATTAAACTAACAATGATCATCAATCAGCAGGAGACAGGTTTCTATTTTCCCAAATGATCTCTCTTGGCTCCTGTGAATACTTGATATGTGTATAATTTGTGGATAGATTTCAAAGGCATGATATGTTTACTTAGGATCATAGGAAAGTAGGACTGGAAGGGACATCATGAGATCATCTAGTCAACCCCCCTGCTCAAGGCAGGATCATCATCTCTGATTAAACTATCTCAGCCAAGTACTTGACTTTGACTCAAAAGGAACTGCTTCATAATATCAAAGTTTCAGAGACTCTGTGTGGAAATAAGTCATTGGGCATTAAATTGACAGGTTTCAGATCAATGGAAGCTCAGTGGATTATGGAGAGGACTTTTAAAATTTCTAGTGTGGGAACAGGTGATTATAACAACACTTTTCTGAGCCTTATGAAAACCAACAAAAAGAGAAGCATTATATTTTCAAAGGAAACTATCCACCTTTGGCATTGTATAGTATTATGCCTACAGGAGATATTCTTTGTGGGAACATGAATAAATATTACGAATAAAGTTTCAGCTACCCCAGCAGAGGTCTCTTCAGACTAAGATCTGTCAAAAAGTCTGACAGATGAGATGAGATTATTTGAGAAATGAGACAAGGATAAAGACCTCAAAGGAGGCAGTCTCTCTCATTTTGGTCATTATTAGGGGTCTACACAACTTGAAGAGGCAGGTGGCTGATCTTGCCAGTCCCGCCCCTCCCTGCAGATTGGCAGATGGCCTGAAATTGTGGCTTAGTTACCCTGATTAAGTCTGGGGAAGCCATTTATCCACACATTATTAAGTGTGGAGTAATGGCTTCCCCAGGCTTAATCAGGGTAATTAAGCCCAGACCAGCCCCAATCTAAGAATTCAATTAAACTCCACATATGCTTTGGGGTGGGTGGTGAGAAAAGGGCCAGGGGCAGCATAGCTCCAGCCCCTTCTCCACTGTCAGCCCTGAGGCACATGTTCACCCACTGCTGGCAATGAAGGAATTAATTTGCCCCAATGTATTTTTCAGAGGTATGCATAGTGGTGAGAGATAATCCATGTGTGAGGCAAGGATCATTCACCTATCTGATAAAATCAATCAGAGTGACCGAAGTAAGGCTACTCACATTGTAAATTATTGCTCAGGTATGTAGCATAATAAGCAGAATCCAGTACCCTTGCAAATATCTCAGGATTTGCCTACACACACAGTTTGTCATACTCCCCCATAACGCTAGCAAGTTTGCAACACAGCCTACATCCACATACAAAAATGCTTCCGACAACTCCCAGGTAACCAAACAACCATAAGGATCAGACTTTCTTTAAGCAGAGAGCATGTCAGCAAGATCCTGTGCTTTGTTAAAGAACACCAAGTCCGTGCCAGCATACAGGACAATCACTGGCATTAAAGGCCCAAAGCGTTCACCAACTGTTGTCACACAGTGCAGTAGTCACTGCTTAGCTGGCCTGTCTTGTCTGCTGTGTGGACTTTATTGCATGCAGAGAGGCAAGCTTGTCAGAAAACACGAACCTGTATAAATAGCACTGAACGTAGCATAGAGCTCTTTGGACTGCTCATTTCTGTTGAGCAAACAGGAAACCAGTTTGTAAAAAATAAGTCTATGTGTAATCACCTCTTCAGTCATGGTTCCCTGGTATCCACACACTGACAAATCACCCCTACATTTACTTCTGTAATAAAATTAATACAAATCTTTAACAAACCAAAAGGAAAAAAACACTTCAAAGAACAAAAGGATGTCTTCACTTTTTAAAGCATCCATGATTCTAGTTTGCATAAAAATCCTTCACCATACAAATTAAATGAATGGGAAAACTGAATAAATTAACAGGTAAGCTCCCAAGAAGTCACTAAATAAAAATAAATGGTAAATTCTAGTTCACTGTTACCTATGGTCCTTCCACAGCTCTCCACCAATTTTTTAAAAAGTGCCCTGAAAAGTGTTAATTTGTAAAAGTAAGGAAGGAACAGTTTCTGATCCAACAGCCTGCCTGTGCACAAGATGCTGGAAGGTCTCTTGTTCCTCAACTGCAAGAGTGGGCAATTATTTTGGCTGGAGGGCCACTTCATGAGTTTTGGTGTCCTCTAGAGGGGGACACTTCTCTCTTTCCCCCATGCCACCATCCCCATGCCACCCAGAGCTGCAGCATGTCCCAGTCTCTACCCCACCTGGACCCCGCCGGCTACCCCGCCAGCTGTGCTAACAGATTATGCCAGCACCTTCCAGGCATGGAAGATGGTGTGGTGCATCATGACATACAGTAGACATTTCTTTTCCCAGTTAAACTAGATGCTTTACTAACATGCTGGGGCCTCAGGCTGTATTTCCATTTAAGATGGAACCAAAAACGAATGTAGCTATTGGAGAGCGCACGGATTTGCTGGATTAGATATAAAATTTTACAAAAAGCATCAACTAGGCAGAAACAGTCAAAAGATGCTGTGTCAGGCTTTTTTTTTTTGTTTTTAAAGAAATTTTTCATGTTCCAAGCCAAATCAAGCCCGACAGCTTGGCGGGTACTAAACTACGCTACAAGAATAGTTATCCCCGGGAAAGCTTAAGCAAAACTGCCTTCATGGACCCGGATACATGGGGTTTCGCCCGGGCAGCTCATCTTAAAGTGTGGGGTGGAGGA